AGATAATAATTAAGTATTCTGTTAGAATTTAATAATTATCCTAATTATATTTTAGATTTTTTATATTTAAAATGAGATGTTTATCCTGTATTTGATGAAATAGGATATGGATGAAATCGGATAGGGATGAAATCGTTTAGGGATGAACGAGTTTAGGATGACTTTAACAGGTTGTACCATTAGCAATAGATGCTGTCTTTAAGAGTTTTAAGAGTTTTTAAGAGTTTTAGCCAAATGTTTTATAATATAGTATAGATATGCATCAATAAACAATACTTCGTGAATAAAAATGGTTTTTAAGAGTTTTTGTCAAATACTTCATAATATAGTATAGATTATAAATATTACAAAACAATCTCAACTTTACATGTAGATAATTAACCATATGTATTAAATAGGTTTCTAAATTTACTTTCAACCGCATTTAATAACTCTCTTTAATTTTCAAAATGTTTTGTGAAAGGTTCCCGTAAAAAATTTCATCGGCCAAACCACCTGGGCACTAGGCCCAATGTGAGTCGGATCACTAAAGCTATTACCTCACCAACTAAGTAATCAGACACGAGCCCCAGCCGTATGAGGAAGAAAACTCTCAAGTACGGTTCTAAGGGAATGAATTAATCCACCTATTCTGATCGGGGAGAACAGACCATTTGGGGGGATTCTGAAATTAAACAAAGTCAATGGTTGATATTAGATTGGTGTGGCTTGTAATAATTACATGATTTCTATTTGAATCACTCTCTTGCTATAGATTGCCCATTTAGTTTTTTTTTTTATTGCATTTTTGGTCCAGGTGGTTTGTTAATTTTCCTTACATTAGGTCCTTGCAAAAATTTTGTTGCAAAAGTCCTGTGGTATACAAAATTGTTTGGCTTTAGTCCTTCTCACTAATGGTTGTTAATTATATCCGTTAGGTGAGGGACACTTTGGTCTATTTTTATTTCATTTCATTTCATTTTGTTTACAAATTTGTTAATTATTATATTAATAAATAATAAATATATATATATATACACACACACATATATATATATATATATAATATATATATATAATATATATATATATATATATACAGATATACATATATCAAAATAATAACACAGGTGCGAACTAGACACATACGAACTCCAGCCCAAGACCTCTGCTCAAAATCCCCCTCTCATCGCTTGCTCCGATCAGCTACCCTTTTTGCCGGATCCCATCACCACCCTACCCTTCCCTTCCCATTGCCAGCCCTCTCCTTCCCTACACTTACCCTCATCCATCACCTACCCTTCTCCCTTTCACTCTTTTTCACTAAACCAAACCGTTTATCCCTACTCCCTCTCAATGAACCTAATACCCTTCTTCCTAGCTAGGGATGTAAATGAATCGAGCTTTTAATAAGCTACTCGAGTTTGATCTTGTTTATCTTTAGCTCGAGCTTAATAATTATCGATCTAGAACACAAAATAAAGCTCACTTAAATTAACAAGTCGAGCTTCATAACACCAATGTTAGAATCGACTCGTTCGATAGCTCGATTAGACTTACGAGTCGAGTCAAGCCGAGCCGAGCTATTCGAGCATACACTTTTTTTGAGCCAAACTTATTTATATGTTGACAAATTATATAATCAAAATATAAAAATCATCGAGCTTGAGTAAATAAGCGAGTTAATCGATCTTGAATTGGAGCTCATAAACGAGCATCGAGCTCAAATATTGAAAAAAATATTCGAGCTCGAGCCTGACTTTGAATAGTTAATCGACCTCGAGTCGAGTCCCAGCTTGATATTATTTTTCAAATGGAGCTCTAATAACCTGCTACTCGACTCGATTTGATTCATTTATACCCTAGTAATCATAGCTCTCCTGAGGCACGTCCACTTATTGTTCCCCACTCTCTCCCTTGTGTTGTTTCTAGCAACATTTCTTTGATAATGACATAACTGGTTCATCTATCGTCCCATCTACCATCTTCTTCCAGATCTACCATCATGAACTGATTCATGGAAGTAATTGACGGCAACATGAAACGTCGGTTCTCCTATTCAGTTCTTATCTCTTTGAAACAATTGGGTCCAGTTCGATTTCTTCTTATATTTTTTCATCTACAGGTTCATCCATGGTTTCGTTTTGGTTGTAGGACTTGATTCAATTTATAGGTTTTTATTTAAATTTAAGGTTTGATTTATATTTTGGGGTTTTGAAACAATATCATTTGATATTTGAGAAAAAAACTTGATTTCGTTTGTACATCTACTTCTTGTTTGATTGGTTTGTGTTATAGCTATAGATGGATGAATTGTGTTGGTGGTGGTGGTGGTTAAAATATAACTAAAAAGAAAAAAATATTTAACATCAATGACATGTTATAACCGGGTTTCATACAAACTGAGTTGAGGTAACCTATACGTGATTATCACTACTAGAAAAACAGGTATCAGCGACGAACATCAGCGAGGGATCAACGAGGGAAATCCCAAAAAACTAAATCCCTCGCTATTCCCTCGCTGATATGCGAGGGAAATTTTCTGTCGCTTCAGCGAGAGAATTGCCAAAAAACTCATTCCCTCGCTGATCTGCGAGATCAGCGACGGAAAGATTCCCTCGCTATTCAGCGAGGGAATAGCGAGGGATTTAGTTTTTTGGGACTTCCCTCGCTGATCCCTCGCTGATCTGCGAGAGATCAGCGAGGGAAATACCAAAAAAATCTTTCCCTCGCTGATCCCTCGCTAATTTGCGAGGGAAATTTCTTCTATAAAATCCCTCGCTGATCCCTCGCAAATCAGCGAGGGAAATGACAAAAATTCAGAATCCCTCGCTGATCTGCGAGGGATCAGCGAGGGATTCTGAATTTTTGTCATTTCCCTCACTGATCCCTCGCTGATCCCTCGCTGATTTGCGAGGGATCAGCGAGGGAATTTTCTATTTTTCCTATTTTCTCATTTTTTATGTGTTATATGTACATATTTTTATATGTTGATATCGTATGTATGCATGTCATGTGTTGTTTGTGTGTATGTATATATATATATATATAT